ACCTGCAAAAAAAAAAAAGTGGATGTTTGTTTTATCGGCTGAAAAATGTTAGAAACTGATCCCATATATAAAGGAAACACACACACACACACACACACACACACACACACACACACACATAAACAACCTGGGTTTTTTAACCTAAGTCACTCCACGGAATCGCTAAAACATAGAGTATAGTCTGATGAAAAAGACGCCAAAGTTTATGAAAACAAAATTTTATCGACAAAATGCTTATTTTTTTATGAAGAGGATAGACTAAATTTTTTTTAATTATTTTTAAAAATTTTTTCCATCTTTTAGAATATTCTAAATTTTGATTTAAAAACCTTGTTTCTCTTTGTCGCAACAAGGGGTAGTAAATAACATAGATAATTTTTAGCGCATTTTTTTTTTGTATTTACACACATTAATTTGGAAAATCTTGCAAAAATAAAAATAATTGTCAGATGTTAATGAAAATTTCAGAAACTATTCACAGATGATCGAAATTATTATAAATATTTTTTTATTAAAGTCATGGCAGAAATATTTTTTTTTATATTTATTAACACCCCATAACTAATTTTATGAAAAACTCTAGAAATTTGAGACCATCGGTTTTAGTGATTACAATAGTTAAAAGCACAAGGCTTTGAAGAATGCAAATCATGTTTTTTTTTTTTTTTTTTTGGCCAACGTACCTGAAAATCAGCTGTGAATTGTAACATACAAAACTCAATAAAACAAATATATTATTTAGTTTCAAATGCTTTTATTTGTTTTAATTTGTTTTATGAATATGGACAATATTTTCTGAAAGCAAAAAAATTTTTCAATGAAAATTGAATTTTTAATACAATTATTTCTTATTTCTTTAATTTTAAAAAGATTTTTAAAAAATGTTTAAATTGAATTTTAAAAAATATTTTAACATTAGTTAAAAGCAACATCAACCTTTCAAAATGTCCGTGTGAGATTGTCATTGTCTAGCGCTTTGAAAATTGTATAATTTGGACCAATCAGATTAGCCATGGTAATTAAGAAATTTTTGTGTTTATAGTCGGACAGTAATTATCAAGTACGGAAGACCAACCAGAATACAATTTAGTTGCATTATTTGAGTTCAGCATTGTTCTCCGCTGTTAACCCCTTTACTTTATGAAACACGTATGGAGAAGTTAATTTGAGTTTTCAATTTCAACTGAGAAGTGTACCTACAAGTAACAGTATCATCTTATGAAATTTAACTACTGCTAAAACTTTAATTTATATGATCTTATTTTTATATTAATCTCAGTTATGACATTTTTCCATAAATGAAATATCAAAATTAATAATAAAATTAATGGAAATACAAATAACACAGTAAAATGTAATTAATGTACATAAAATTATAGTATTTTATGTACACTTCTGATAAAATTTCATAAGAAAGGTACCTAAATTAATTAGATACCTTTTTCTTATGAAATTTAATCTCACTATTAACAGTCTTATTTTTAATTTCTTTATATTTTCCATAAAGCATCGTAAACGTAAAAATGAAAGCTACGTACAAAAAAAATAAATAAAAAAAATAAAAATTAGAGCGCTGAAAGTTTTCCTTAAAAGTAACAAGGTAAATAATTTGTTCACTTAAATAATTTCACTTCCTTCAATCCGTAGAAAGAATTCTCCTCCCGTAAGTTATCTAAACGTCATGAATGTGCCTTTCGTCAATCGTCAAGCGACGCGAAAGGTTATGACCTGCTTTGTTTTATTTTCAAATTACATTTTTTCGGCGCAGAAGCTAAGTTAATCTTGGTTCAAAATATTTTAAATAAACAGTATAATATCTGTTTTATTAAAATCAGTTTTGAAAAAATGATAATTGACTTTTAAAAGAATATCAAAAGTAAGATTGTAATCTTTTTATCAAATCGAAAAAATGATTGAAAATGATTATCTGCCCTTTTTTTTTGACCAAAAAAAAACAATATTTTAACGAAAATTTCAGAGGTGCTAGGAACGATTAAAAAATGTAAAAAATACCCCCCAAAATACTTTGATCTTTCCTCTTTAATAATAATATGAACATTAGACGATAAAATTTTGTTTTCGTCAAGTTCGGCGTCTTTTTCATCATGCTATGCTCTTTTGTTTACATTTTTGTGGGTGAGTTGTCCCCCTTTCATTCTCACGATGTGTCTTAATCGTGTTTTCAAATTGATTTTATTAAAAAAACATCTGTATTTTTCCCATTTTCGGTCCCATTTAGAACCACCACAAGGTAATTTTATGTAGTCCTGTCAAGTTTTGTTGAAATCGGCCAAAAAATGTAGGAAATTCGATCCAACATATAAACGTTACAGACACACACACACACACACACACACACAACCTGCGTTTTATAATAAGTAAGATAAAATAATCAAAATTAATTCTCGTCTGTTATTAAACGATACATGTCTCAAAACATGTTTCACTAATGGAACTAAGAGCACTAAAATCTTTCAACTTATTTTATTGGAAAAGTGTTTGAATTTTGTCTCTAAAGTAGCTGATAAACTTACAAGGTACTTAAATAAAACTGGAACTTTATGTTCATATTTTCCGGCTTACAAGACGCACTATTTTCCTAAAAATTAACCTGAAAAATATGTGTACGTCTTCCAAGACGAATATGACTACGCCTAGGTTCAGGTAAGCTTGGACAGTCATCTAATTGGCTTGACGGATAGGGACGTGGATTTATATGTTGAGTCAGTACACTATAATGTTAGCTATGTCTAATTCAACCTTTTATATGATGTAACGTCAGTACTTAGTTGTTACAAGTATTTCCAATTCTATAAACCTTGCCAGATGGAATTCATGTTATTGTGCAGTATAAAGGCTGGATGAATGAAGCGGAAGTTAAAGTGTGAATCGAAAAAGTTGTGGTCCAATCTGTGTTTATTAGCGATAAAATAATCAGAATTAATGCTCGCCTGTTATTAAAAGATACGTGTCTCAAATTATGTTTCACTAATGGAACAAAGAACACTAAAATCTTTCAACTTATTTTATTGAAGAAGTGTTTGAATTTTGTCTCTAAAGTAGCTGATCAATTAACAAATTACCTAAGTAAAACTGGAGTCTTTGTGTCCATTTCTAGAAACTTGCTTGTTCCAATGGGCACAAAAAATACGTTAAAGACACTGTGCCTCGAAACAGGGATCGAACTTGTATTTCATTTATCCCAATAAACATTTAAACCAGGCGCGCTTAACCACTTACTGTATTTTTTTATTTTTTTTTTTTTTTGGCTTACAAATTATTTCCAAGATTATAAACCTTCCTGGAGCCGAGCCACAAGCTTAAACATGCTCTGTTTACTAGCAGCCTTTCTACTCTTGATGTCATTGCCATACAAAGTTGGGCGAATGATTAATGTAAACAAGACGCGGCGCCAATATGTGAGGGAAGTGTGGTGAATGTGTTGTTGCATGAGAATGACTTTTTCCTTAGAAATTCATTTCCAATATTAAGGTGCGTCTTACAAGACGCACTTTTTTCCTTAAAAATACCCTGAAAAATACGTGTGCTTTTTCCAAGACGAATGTAAGGCAACATCAAGTAAGCTTGGACGGTCACCTTACTTGCTTGACTGATAGGGACGCGGATTTTTATGTCATTTACACTATAATGTTAGCTTACTATCTAAATCAGCCTTTTATACGATGTAACTTCAGTACTTAGCTGATAAGTTATTTCCAAGACTATAAACCTTCCTGGGGCCGAGCCACAAGCTTAAATATGCTCTGCTTACTAGCAGACTGTCTGCTCTTGATTAGTATGTCATTACTATACAAAGTTGGACGAATGATTAATGTAAACAAGACGCGGCGTCAATATGTGAGGGATGTATTGTGAATGTGTTATTGCATGAGAATGACTTTTTTCCTTAGAAATTTATTTCCAATAATAGACTGCGTCTTCCAAGCCGCAGTGTCTTGTAAGCCAGGAAATACAGTAGTCACGGGAAATATTACAGCAAGGCAAGATCAAATTATTACTATTGCTGATTTTTACCTTTAATTTCCGGTCATGATTGAAAAATTATGATCATAATCTGAATATCTTAATAATCCATAAGTAATATCTTAATAGTACTTTGAGAGAAAATTATAGATGGGGGAGTGTTGCAGTGGATGTCTGATTTGGAACAAGCAGGTTTTTAAAAGGGACTCAAAGTCAGGCTTCAGTTTTCCATATTGCAAACTGTTCAGCTACTTTAAAGCAAATCCACTCATTTTCTCAATAAAATAAGTTGAAATATTTTGAAATTTTAATGCCTATTGTTCCACTAAATTTTAACCCATTGAGCCCCTGACCCCCGTTTTACCTGTGGTAGAAAAAAATGACTTAATGCCCAGCCACCGGTTGAATGTTGTGTAAACACTTGGCTGTCTTATTTTGAAGAGCCAATCAGAAAAGCTGTAATATTCTGATGTCATCGAACGTTACACAAACAATAATACCAATATTTTTATATCTACCGTAAAACATTACATACCAATTATTTGCGAATTTTGACTCGGGATATCAGGAAGAAGGGTTAAAATTGTTCAAGAACGCATGGCTCAAATGGTTAAGATATATTTTTAGATAACAGATAAACATTAATTGTATTTTAACACGATGTTTAAGCACATGTTGTATTTTAGTATTTACTGTGTAAATTAAACAAAATCAATGCTTGTCTGGTACATACTAATATGTTTTAATCTATATTCCACTAGCAGAACAATAGACACGAAGACGTTAATAAACAAAAATAAAGCATCGTTGAATAAAAAGAAAACAAAAGATTATTTGTGACAGTTCTTCTCAAATGGTTCGCATTACTTGAGCAGATGGAAGACAATGGCGTCGTCGAGAAGACGCCATTTTTGTTAATAGTAGGAGTTAAAAAGCTATGACGATTGATGGCGATAGCGATGAGTTGTTTCCATAAACTGTCAGGACGTTGGGCAGATAACAGTATCGTCTGATTGTCATTCATGAGGCGCTAAAGAAAGAAAAGAATAAAGTAAAATATTCGATACAAAACGATGAAATATAAAGCGAATGAATGAATGAAGGAAGGAAAGAAGGAAGGAAGGAAAGAAGAAGGTAGGAAGGAAGGAAGGAAAATAAATGAAAGAGAAGGAAGATGATAAACATAAAATACAATGAAAAAGAGTAAATAAAATAAAAAACAAAAATGAAAAAGAAGAAAAAGGGGATTTATCTGGAGTAAAATGGGACATGAAGGAGGAAAGAAGGAAATAAAAGAAGTGAATGAGGGAAAGAAAGGAAGAAGAAACGAAAGGAATACTTGAATGAGGAAAGAACTGAGAGAGGAAAGAAGAAAATAAGGAAAGAACTGAATGAAGAATAAAACGACGAAGAAGAGAGAAGTTTAATAAAAGAAAAAAAAATGAAGAAGAAGACTAACAATAAAACATAAATAAAACAAAAATCAAAGGGAAAATGAAGAAAACAATTTTGAATGAATATTAAAAAGAAATTACGTATTCAAAAGAAAGAAAAGTCAGAATAAAATTACACAAATTTTTTAACTGAACAGTTAAATCCTTCAAACTATTAACCTTCAAACTTCTTTTGGCAAATCACTAGAGTCTCTAATTAACTCTGAATTGGTTAAGCATCTCACCTCGTAGGGTTTTCTTTCAGATAAGCAATAGAGCTTGCGTTCTCTAGGTCAACTGCTGATGCATTAACGATTATTGCTAAAAGAATAGTTAAGAATGGTGAAATTTGGGCTTTTGCTTTGGATATCTCGCAGGTATTTGACAGGGTCTGGCATACTGGTCTTCTTCACAACTTAAAAGGTTATGGCATTTCTGGGCGAATTTCTGATTCAGTCTTTCTTATCAAATAGCGAAATGGATGTCATCTTGAATGTCTACTCGTCTAGATCATTTTGCATTAATGCAAGCGTTCCCCGTGGCTTTATTCTTGGATCTGCGTTGTGTTTAATTTTCATAAATCACATTCCTGGTCTCTCCAGTTCTCAGATTGGTATCTAATTTGACGACATAACAAATTACTCCTGTCTTATTTGTAAGTGGGATCGGTTCGATAAGGTCAAATTGGCTACTAATTTAAAAAAATGACCTACAATATATTGTGAAATAGGACAAGGAGTGGCTGCTTCATTTTAATGCTCCCAGAACGAAACTACACTCTTTTAATTGTCTGAGATGAACTTTCTTAACTTCCATTAGTATGACTGATGCTAACCTCTAGGCGAGTGACTCATTATGCCTTGTTAAGCTAACGTTTTCTGCTGATATGAAATCGAAATAGTATATTGAATCAATTGCTAAGTTTGTGACTCGGAAAGTTGGTTCAATATGTCGAACTAGAGAATTTTTCTCACCTGAATATATCTTAAATATTTATAAAACAACCATTCATCCTTTGCTTTGAATATTATGGCCATATCTGGTCTGGTGTTCCCGGTCTATATATTCTGTAACACTTAGTAACGTTTTGCGTCACAGTGGCTTTATTGCCTTGCTTGGTAGTGAAACGATAAAAACTGAGTTAAAAAGTGACACGGGAAAATAAATGGGCCAAAAAATCAGGAATGAAAGCCGAGAGAATTGGTGAGAATTATCTAAATCTATATTTTTTGTACTTATTTGTTTGCATTTTTTTGTATTTCTATCTATTGTTTTTGTCTTTTTTATTTTTTTGTCTTTTTTATTGTTTTTTTTTCATAAAGAGTAGATCGGATCTCCTATCACTCAGTCTGTATTCCTCCTACTCCTCTTGAACAGGAGTAGAGGCTCATACCTTGTTTCCTTTTATTCCTCAGGCCTTAATATTGGTACTTCTATGATGTTTTTGTGATCTGAGTGGATGGTGGCAACGTTTCTTCATACTGAGAGTATCGGGTTGGCAGTTTTCTGGTTGCTGTTACCGACTGATAGTTAGGAGCTCGAACTCTTGCGTGGCGCCTTAAGAGGCTGCTCTAATCAACAGTTGCATAATATCAGAGTTCTTGCAGCGCCATGTCGCACATGGAAGGGTGTCTCTGCAAGCAGCTCCGGTGGGCAACCCCGAGGCCACACTATTTTGCCGTCTGCGCCAATTCGCTTCCTACACATGTCATATTAGACGACCGACTGCTACCATTACCCTAGGCCTTTCCTTAAGAAAACAACACACCATGATATAAATCTAAACCACCTCAGCAAGAAGCACCTAAAACCCGTAATCTTTCTTTCTCCAACGTTCGTGGAGCAGATTGGAATCGTTCCTCTTGGGAAAGTCTCCGGACATCCTAGCTGTCTGGGAAAGTAATCTTAACTTTTCAATACCCTCCTCTGATTTATCAATTCCTGACTATCTTACTCTCCTTGCGGAGGACTCTAATATCGACAAGTATGGGCTTAGAGTTTATGTCCGTGAACATCTCCCGCTGGCTAGGGAACTCTGTCTTGAATTCCCACACAACTTTTACATGTGTCTCCGTCTGTCTCTACTTAATTCAGTCAGCTATATCTTCTATCTCTACCGCTCCCCTCTCATGACTTGCGTGCTAGATAGTATTTCTGATAATATAGGCAAGGCCTACAACCGCCTGTAAATATATTTGTGTTTGGTGACTTTAATGCCCACTATGACAGGTGGCTTAAACTGACCCCGCTGGAATTCAGACACTAAACTTCTCAATCACTCACTCTCTTACTTCCCTCTCGCTGCCCGGACTACGTGAGTTTAAATGTGCTACTAGATTGGCATCTAGGCCCACTCTTTTTACTGTTACATTAGTTAGATGTAACCGACACTTCTACTCCAACAGTTTCTTTTCTCGCACTTCCCGCCTGTGGAACTCCCTTCTGTTTCCTTGCTTCTCTGATGACTACAACTTTAAATCAGTTTGTCTTTTATCCTGTCCTCAGTCCTCTATTCACTCTCTTTAATCCTCTGGGTATTCCTGGCATTCTCGCCTTGCTTGGGGTAAAATAATTTTTTAAAAAAGTACATGTTAAAGTGGAAAGTATTTTTATGTGGTGCGTTTTGTCATTTAGAACTTCATCCGACTAAGCTTATGTTTATTTTGATCCAGCACCGCTCACGGAAACAATGCCATAGCTTGGTCAACTGTCGAACTCTCTGCCTTTGGCAGAGAGGAACCCGGACGAGGCTTTACCGAAGGGCAGAGTTTCATCCGGGGAGGTAGACAGAAACGGACTCGCTTATGCGTGTTCTACGGGAATATTTCTGGCCGATCCTACGGGCTCGGAGGGCCCACAGTAAACTCGGCCTGGTGCCACATACATTTCTCGTTCGCTGGGGGTGTGGGTGGGGTTGGGGTGGTCTGTTAGATATTAACATGCGCACGAATGAGCGATCCTGGGAATTAATTTCTAAAATATTATATTTAGATTATTTTATTTAAATTGTGTTTCCCTTACTTTTATTATTGACCAAAATTTTAATATAAAAGTTCTATTCTAAATAGAGAGAAAACAATTTATTAAGACGAAAATATATAGAAAGTGCTTTAATCGCTAAATCGTCTACAGTAAATTTGCGCCAAGATTCTTATAACCTTTCACCATTCTTGGCAGACCTTCTTTTATCACAATTTCGGTCATCTAATAACTAAGTATATATATATATATATATATATATATATATATATATATATATATATATATATATTGTGTGTGTGTGTGTGTGTGTGTGTGTGTGTGTGTGGTACAGGTACTCGGTCCGTTGGTATATAATCCGAGTGGATCCCAGTAATATTAGTCATTAAAACTGATCGACAGACAGCTCGATGTATTTATTATAACAGAGCATATGTATTTTTTACAGTAAAAAAACCCAAAATGACTCAATACAGAGGATAGTCTATTTCAAAGCCGTTCAGTACGCGGCTATCATTAGCTCCGAGACAGACACATAGAGGCTAATGATAGCCGTACAGAACGGCTTGAAATAGACTATCCTATATTGAGGTTATTTTTGATTTTTGCCGTAATATATATATATATATATATATATATATATATATATATATATATATATATATATATATATATATAATACATCAAATTGTAGTATCGCTCGTTCGTATGCATGTCCAGTCACATTAAGGTAAGCATAAACTTTGTCCGATAAAGTCCTAAATAACAAAACGCGTCACACGAAAATTTTTTTCACTTTATCATATATCTTTCCCCTTAAAGTGTTGTTGATATATGTAAGGTATATATCATTATATATATATATATATATATATATATATATATATATATATATATATATATATATAATGATGATGAAAATGGAGTCCTTAGAAATCCATGGTTAACAATTTATTTCACGGGATCAGAAGATTCATGGTCGGTCTGATACCGTGAAATAAATTATTACGAATTGAATTCTAAGGACTCCGCTTTCATCATTATTATATTTGCTTTCTTCTTTCATTGATCTCTCTTTGGATTTATATTCTCTTTGGAATTATGCCTACTAATTATCAAAAAAATATATATATATATATATATATATATATATATATATATATATATATATACAGGTTTCGTTGAAAACAATTGGCAAGGTGCCGTGTTTGATGCTTTTATACTTTCTTTGTTGGCTGCCTCGTCATGTAATTTAAAAATTGTGTATTTGGGCAGCAATCGCTTTTTTATCCTTCTTTTCCAACAACCTTGTCAGTCGTTTTCAACGAAACTTGTATAAAAGAAGGATTGCAGCCTAAATACATAAATTTTAAATTACATGAGCCAACAACGAAGGCATGAAAAACTCAACCACATCACATTGTCAGTGGTTTTCTACGAAACTTGCATATACCATACAGCATAAACTCAGGAAAACATGCTAAAAACGAACGGCTTGAAAATGGTTGATAAATTGGACGAAAGTGTCAGGGACAATAATCAAGATAGTTTTTACACAGTCTTAGTTCTCAGAAAAGAAACTCAGTAATATTAGAAAAACTGAATCAAAACTCATAAAATGTTCCTTTTCCTAGATAGATGACAAATAAGATGGCTCTATCTACCTATTTGTTTTTTTAGAGTTTTCCTCCTCCGAGATCAGTGTTTCTCAACCACGGTGCAAATGAAAATATCACGGAACACTTAGCAAAATTTTTTAAGTATATACACTTAATTGCTATGAAATATAGTTTTATTTTTAAATACACAAACAAATATGAACTTACTTTATTTCAATGTTTCTATTCAACTATTTGTGCTGCTTATTTAGAGTGAAACCTATGCCTAGTGTATTTATTTTTGCGATTTCTTCAATGTTTGGTCGAATGTGCGATAAGCAGGCGTTCATTTCGTCTTCAGTTGAGCGTAGTCTTTCTCGCTTCTTATTTTTGATGTCATTTACAGTTGAGAATCCTCATTGAAATAAATAAGTAGAAAATTGCAATAAAACTGATAAAGCTTTCTTCACCACGGATGAGGGTGACCGTCCAACACATTTTTATATGCACAACATTCCCAAGCCTTCTGAGAGTGAGGTGTGGGGGAGGAAGGGTGAGAATAGGAGATAGTAGAACAATAAATCCAAACGGCAATTATAGTAGTAATTAAGAATGTTTTTTTTGGGGGGGGGGTACATTAAATAACTAAGCCGGAGCTGAATTGCATATATTTAGCTTGAAGTTATCACTTATAGTTTTGTAATCAATGAAACTGTTTTGAAAATTAATAAATTAAGAGGTGGAGATTACTTCTTGGTATTTTAAATACATAAGTTACTCGTTTTTTTAAACAATAAGTTTTAGTTTAGAAATTACGATATAAGTAGAAAGGTATATAAAAGTATGGGATATTAATATAACATTTATAAGCAAATTTGGACCTATTGTCGGACTGTATAACGTGTAGAATAAGTATTGGTATAAATCAATTTACCTAAAAATATTACTAGTATTATATATGCGCAAAAACATTTTAAGAATCATAATCTAAGATAGATTAGTGGGGAAGTATATAAGAGGAGTAGAAAGTATGTCAAAGGAGGTGAGTTATAACTTTAAATGATTAGAGTTATGGATTTAAAAGTTTAGTAAAATTGTAATGATACATCTTTAATATGCCTAAGAAAATGGTGGTTTCATACCTTTGATTTAATAACGAGGTGTTGTACAAAAGTTCAATAATACATATTTTTTCCTGCAAACAAAAAAAAAAAAAAAACAAGTATCTGTCGATATTTCTGAGATGAGGTATTATGTACACTATTTACATTATTCGGACTATTGTCCTCATCTTTGTCGCCATATTTATTACAACGTTTCGGCCTTTCAGTATCTGTCGATATTTCTGAGATGAGGTATTATGTACACGATTTATATTATTTGGACTATTGTCCTCATCTTTGTCGCCATATTCATTACAACGTTTCGGCCTTTCAGTATCTGTCTATATTTCTGAGATGATGTATTATGTACACGATTTATATTATTCGGACTATTGTCCTCATCTTTGACGCCATATTTATTACAAAGCTTTGGCCTTTCAGTATCTGTCTATATTTCTGAGATGAGGTATTATGTACACTATTTACATTATTCGGACTATTGTCCTCATCTTTATCGCCATATTTATTACAACGTTTCGGCCTTTCAGTATCTGTCGATATTTCTGAGATGAGGTATTATTTTGCACGATTTACATTATTCGGACTATTGTCCACATCTTTGTTGCCATATTTATTTTTCGGCCTTTTCAGTATCTGTCGATATTTCTGAGATGAGGTATTATGTACACTATTTACATTATTCGGACTATTGTCCTCATCTTTGTCGCCATATTTATTACAACGTTTCGGCCTTTCAGTATCTGTCGATATTTCTGAGATGAAGTATTATGTACACTATTTACATTATTCGGACTATTGTCCTCATCTTTGTCGCCACATTTATTACAACGTTTCGGCCGTTGTATGCTTCGGCCTTCTTCAGGTGTTTGGAATGTCGAACTGAACCCTTTATTTCGCTCGCTGGGGTAGACTGTTCTAGTTCCATGTGCCATGTCGAATGGATGTCATTTATCTCCTGTTAATTTCGCTCTCCAAGTTCTCCACCGCCTTAACCACGTATTGAACTCACACTCTTTGGGTCCTGTCACTAGATCTAACTAACGCCTTTATTCACTGTGCCATGTGTCCTCAAGTTAGTATTTTAAAACAAAAGAATAAGTATTAAACTTTTTTCAAATAATTCTTTTCTCTATTCTTTGATTATATTATTTTAAAGACTTTGTTTTAATATTCCTTTTTTTTTAAACAGTATTTTTATTTTTTAATTTAATTTAAAAAAAAAAAATTATTTAATAAATGAACATTAACCTTTTTTTTACACAATTTACGTTGTTCGGACTATCGACGTTGTAAGCCCCAGCTGTCTTCAGGTGGTTAGAATGCCGAACTGAACCCTTTATTACAAGGACACAGGCACAGTGGTTAAAGGCGTTCGTTCGATCCATTGACAGGACCCAAAAGTGTGCGTTCAATACCTGGTTATGGTTCAAAGATATATATATATATATATATATATATATATATATATATATATATATATATATATATTAATGTGTGTTCCTTTCTTATGTGTATAAGGGTGTACAATTGTAAATAGTTTTAAAAATGCTTTACCCGATGTTTTCAAAATACAGATGGAGACTAAATATTAAAGTGAAAACACAGTTAGAAAAATAATATAGAATAAAAAGAACATAAAGAGGCATTTTTTACAGTAACGTTCAATCTGTACAAGACCCGGGGCCACTCAAGGTAGAGGGTTACTGTTCCAAAGAGCAGAAGCTGTTTGAGTGGAAATTACTTCTCGGTAATGTAACAGGGATGTAATATGGGTGGTTTGCTACTATGTAAGTGGCATGTCTGCTCCTAGGCGTGGTGTTTTAGAACTGGCGAAACCAATGAATGTAGTTCGTTCCAGTACTTTCCATGGAAATGGCGACAGAGCACTGAGAGATTTGCCACATCCCGCCTGTGAGAAAGAGTTTAGAGGGTGGAAAAAATGATTCTCCAAATAGGACTCGGAGGCGCTTTTGAACTGGAAAGTGAGGACCGGGCAGCTCTCGCCCAAGTACTCTATTTCTGGCCTTATCTGGCTGTTATGAAGGTAAAGGATAGCATGCAGTGTTAGGTACTAACTGAAGTGGTATAGTGTGATAGGCAAAACTAAAGAGAAACCTCAGTAAAGAGAAATGTTCTTAACGTCTTTAGTTAAATGGATGTCAAAACAAAGACAGCGACGAAAGGTACACAGTCAAATGTTACTAAAAAAACTGGAAATTTAAGAGAGCCATAAGGGCTTTCATACTGAATGGCGCTTAAAGAAGGAAGCTAGATTGATACAGATTTATATTATGAGAAAACAGTTTAGATATTAGCAGGACTAGAGAGACAATGTGTCCGGCTTCTGGTTTCGAACCTTCGACTCTTTTTCGGAGAGAGACCACCGTCTGATCCGTAATAATTTAGACTGCTGTTCTTTGAAGCTCTCTATGGCCGAGTTGTCTAAAGCCAACATGATCAGATTCTGGTTTCCCTTACGAAGGGAATAGTGGTTCAAACCATGTCGCAGATTTTTATTAAGATTCTTGAATGCATGCGCCAATAGATGTGATTCTCATTCTAAAAAAAAAGCAACCAAAAAACGAAAACACACTATGTACACATGTATCCAATAAAATATGAAGTTTAAAGTAGTATGTAAGAAATACACACACAATTATTTAAATGTGTATGCTTGGTTTTATTCATGAGAGGCGGTGAAAAATTGTCGGTCTGATAAAAAATGTATCCGAATAAAAAATTTGAAGGTCTGGAAAGATGGCCAGGGAAGCAGTTTGGGCTGAAATATTTTCAGCATCTCCACATGTGGACGTAGACGGAGTGAGTGAAAAAATAAAAAGAACGGGGGAGAATTAGATAGATTGAGTGAGGAAAGGGACGAGGTAAGAAATATATGGGGGTTAAAAAAGAAAGAAAGAAAGAAAGAAAGAAAGAAAGAAAGAAAGAAAAAAGAAAGAAAGATACGAAGGAACAAATAAAAGAATGAAAGAAGCAAACGAACGAAAGAAAGAAAGAAAAAAAAAAGGAACGAAGGAATGAACGAAGTAAATAAATAAATAAAGAAAGAAAGAAAGAAAAAAGAAAGAAAGATACAAAGGAACAGATAAAAGAAAGAAGCGAACGAACGAACGAACGAACGAAAGAAAGAAAGAAAGAAAGAAAGAAAGAAAGAAAGAAAGAAAGAAAGAAAGAAAGAACGGACGAAGAAATAAAATCGGGAAGGAAGGGAGGAATAAATAAACGAAAGAAAGAATGGACAAACGAAGAAATAAAGTCGGAGAGAAGGAAGGAAGGATGGATGGAAGGGAGGAAGGAAGGAAAGAAGGAAGGGAAACACTGCACTAAATCGTTGAGAAAAGGTGTCAAACAAATATAACGTAGTGTACAAGAATTAATATGACATGAATAATTGCCAAAATGAAGCAAAAGGGAAGACATCATGGCAGATGGTGATAAAAAGTTGAGAGAGAAAGCCACGAAATCTTATTAAAAAGAAACTAAATAAAAGGAGTACTTTACTTTCTTCTTTTCCCTAACTTGTAACAAGAAGAAGAAGAAGAAGAAGAAGACAACGACGAAGACGTAGTGGACGGAGTAAAAGAGGAAAGAGAAAAGAAATGAGGGGCGGCTGCTCCCGTGAGTTACAAGGGCGATGATCACTGTAGATAGCAGCCATGATATCTGCATTCTCATCCTCACTGGCAGTCTGAATAAATCTCGTCTTATCTCGTTCGACATTTGACGAGAATTTGTGTCTCTCAGACGCTGATGGCTAATACGAAATGCTAAGCGGAAATTGATTATGACAAACTTGAAAAGTTTTACATTTATTTATTCATTAAAAAGTAACAACCTCAGATTTTAATTTAAAAAAATAAAACAAATGTTCAAGCGCTTTTTTAGTATTTCTTTATTCAAAAATGGTCTTTATTTAGGCGTTATTCATTTTAATTCTACTTTGCAGAAAAAAGGAAGTTTTATCATGGGACGTATATTTTTATTATTAATTCATTACTCTATAAACTATACAACATAAAAGATATTCGAAAAAACTCATCGAATTAAATTAGCAAAAAATGTCTGGATTTAAATGAGTAAAAGATAGCGTTTAAATACATGGTAAAATTTAACTTTGTATTTCAACGACGTTAACGCGAATGTAGATATTGAACATAGTACTACTTGAAACTAGGAAGGCAATAACAATATAATTATATACAAGGAAGCGTCAGAAATATTTCCCACATATACTTTCCAGAAATCCCTTCCAAATAATGGTAAGACATTAGCTAAATGAAGATACCATTGCCAGTAATGACTTAGCAGTATGTGGAAGGTATTCTTCACACGTGACATATACTGACGTTATTTTCAGTTAACAATATGAAAATAGCCTTTCTCTACATTCCAGTTGCTAGTAACATTCTGTTTTTGTTTTTATTAGTTACCTTGTTAAATTATATTCATTTCGTATTTTCTTTTGATAAAGTCCACATTGGACGAAACGCGTCAGCAATTACTAGTTTTCCTTTTGTCATTTTTATTCATAAATATTGTCTTCTCTACTGGTTAAATGGTAGAAATTTTCATATATATATATATATATATATATATATATATATATATATATATATATATATTAGATATAATATATATATATATATATATATATATGGGGGCGGTTATACTTTAGATATAAATAAAATATATCTCTCAGGCAATATAAATAAAAGGCATAATGAAAACTTTTCTTTGCCAACGCGTTTCATTCCCGGAGGAAATTTATCAAAGTAAGTGCCCTTCTTTTATGCAGGTTTCCTTGAAGACGACTGTCAAGGCAGTGCATTTAAAATTTCTATTGAATTCTTCTTGTATTCGTACAAGTAATTTCTTTTCTTTTCTGTGTAAAACTGTCCAAATTATCTATAGATCCGTGCGATTTCCACTGATCTGTTAAGCATCATCACGGATGTTCTTACTTAACTGAAAATCTAGATTTTTTTTTTAATTATATGTACATATAAGGAAGGGATTATTTAAAAAAAAAATCCGAACACGGTCAGCAGGTTGTGGCCGTTTTCATAATTGATATTATTGAGTGTTGGTTTCTTGTTAATTATTTACGCTCCCGTTATTTTTAACCAATTTTTGCATATGGATGAAACTGTTATATTCGTATTTTCCACAAGTCTGTTGCGGAGAGAGTTTTGTAGCATTTAAACGTAATTTGTGATTATTTAAATGTGTCCTAATGTAACTATCGCATCTCAGCAAAATATAAATCCAATTCTTTCCAGTAACTCTTTTCCTGGAAGAATTATTTCTATTACTGCCAAGATACATGACCACAAAAGATGCTAAATAATTAAAATAAAATACGGGATTCGACATAGACATAAAAAACTAACCTGAAAGAAGTAGATTTCCAAGATGTCATATTCAAGAAAAGATACGTATCAACCTTACAGAAAAGCTAACGACAAACCACTTTACATAGGCACATCTTCCATCCATCCAATATCATTAATCAACCAGATCCCACAATCAATTAACAGATTATCTGACAGTATTTCCAGTGAAACCATCTTGAAGAAATCCAAGAAAAATTATGAATCAGCACTAAAAGGTAGTGGATTTTCAGCAACTCTCTCATACAGATCACACAGCAAAAAAAAAAAAAAACTCCAAAAGGAAAAGAAACACCATATGGTTCAACCTACTGTACAACACAAACGTAAAACCTAACATAGGGAAATATTCATAACACTCATTGACAAACACTTTCTCCCATCAGAAGCATTCCCAAGATATTCAACAAAAACACAATAAAAATCAGCTACAGTTGCACCGAGAACATGACACAAATAATAAAAAAGCAAAACAGAAAAACAATAAACAAACTACACCCACATTCAAACGTGTAACCGCAGAGCAAATAACGAATGTCTCTTAAACGGCAATTGCTTGAAGAACAATGTAATACACCAAGCCACTGTAAAATCAGCAGATAAGGGAAAATACATATAGGAGTAACTGAAGGAAGATGGAAACAAATAAACTTCACGCACATAACATAGTTTACAAATAGTAAATACGCGAACAGGACAATACTTTTACTTTTTATCAATAATGCTCTCATCCATATGCAAAAATAAACGTTAAAAATAATGGAACCATTAATAATAAAAAAGATAGACACATACACAAAATTCCATACATTGAATTAAAATTAAAAAGAAAATACATCCTTGATAGTAGTTAAAAGAATAGCCGAAAGCGCTCTGGCATATAGAACATTCAGACGGTCATATAGAAAGAAAGTGAGTAGCTACCGACAGCGAGGTTCGAGCGTGACATGCTGGACATATGAATATATGTTTTCCGCCAGGTGTATAAATAGCGGTGTCATGCTACTGACTGCAGTGATTATTAAATGACTATTGAGTGGAACTATCCAGTCGAATTAGTGTGAATTATTGTGCGTCAATGATTTGGGTTTTGATTTACCGGGCGTTAAGCCGAGCCGCGCTACTAAACAAGGTATTCACTGAAATGGTTAATTATCTTTGGTTGACTTTTACTTCTTTGTTCTTGTTACATATTTACTTGCGGTTGTAATTAAATATTGTTTTATTTAACATTGACATCTTGAGTTATACTTAATTCTTAACGGCTACTGTAAGTCACAAAACAGACAATGTTTACATGCTTTATGCCGAGAAAAGAAAAAAATTATACGAAAAACATGAAAGATTAAATAAAATCTTAATCGCAGTAATTTTGTCAGTCGCCTTTTAATGAAATTTATATATATATATATATATATATATATATATATATATATATATATATATATATATATAAGTATTATATATATTATTTATATATTATATATGCGTGGTATTTATTGAAAGCGCTCAATATCAGTGATAGACCTAATATATTTAGTTGCGTTAATGAGAGTTTAGACCTGGTTTCACGCCCTTTGCGATCGTCAGACAGATTGTTTGACAATCTCAAAGAGCGTGAAACCCAGGACCACAAGCCCTCATCAACACAACTATATATATATATATATATATATATATAAAACAACACAACTATATATATATATATATATATATATATATATATATATATATATATATATATATATATATATATAAAATAAAAAAGATTCTAAATTAAATCGGCTAGATTAAAAAATAAAATAAAATAAAATTTAAAATTCCCAGCATCCCTTGTTCGTGCGCATGCGTAGTCGCACCAACATAACACATTTAGTCCGATGAAGTTCTAAAGGACGAAACGCGTTACAGGAAAACTTTTTTTTTCCATTTTGTCATAAATGCTTCCCTATCAGATCTGATAATGTACATTGATCTTCCCAATGTGGTTGACGATTACCAAACAGAATATCTCTACTGTAGCGTAGAATCCATAAGACTTGTTCCCCATCCAACTCCAATTATATTACATATCCCCACCCGTATCTAATAATTATCAATAGCATTGAATCAACAGTCCTTTGTTTAGCCAATAAATACGGCTTAACCTTTAAAGAATTCTGATTCTGTATTGTATTTAGTCGAGCTTCAATGGTGCTGAAAACCTAATTACCAATGTGATCATAAATGATACCATCAAATGTTATTATACAAAATATTTATAACCATTCTACTCATCAGAGTCTTAAAAGCAAACCTAATAGTTTATGAAAATAAAATACCACTTAAGTTCCCTTCCAAGATAAGCTAAGAAATATATACAGAAAAACCAGTGGGATCATCGCTCGGACCAACTCTCTCAAATTCTCATACGATTAACAGTGAGTGACAGAGAATGTGAAGGCTTCAGTGTGGAGAAACTGAGGAAAAGAGAAAAAAGAAAAATGTTCAAGAAAACAAGATGGCGATTGACGTATTAAATACTGGAAGAATATGGTATGGAAGCAAAATAAGGAGAAAAAAACACCTAAAAGAAATATAATGCATATAAGCCTAACTCTGGTAGATGTTAAAATCGTCTCAGATTCATTATATGATACAAGAAAATTAAAAACGTTTCCTTTCATGATGATTAACAACACATTTCTGCAAACAATTATTTTGAAAAAAAAAAGAAAAAATGGCACCGTTTGACTCTGATCTACGACGCAGGAAACCTTTGCATGTGAACGCCATCGTCACATGCAAGATTCATCATTGAAAATGAGTAGTCAGCGACGTTGAACAAGGAAGGAAATAGTGCTTGTAGCTGAAAACTTTGTCTATCCAACATTCTATCTACCTCTCATTTTGTATATATATATATATATATATATAAATAAATTAATTGAGTCCGATAGAAACCTCAACAGGAAAATAGAGGAAGCACCCTGACAGTTTTCGATACCTGGTGGTGGATGCGCACTGCTGATGAGTCCCAATTATAGGACGAAATATGTTTATCAAATCCTCCTACTTATTATATGTGTTTATCGTTGCTTGATCCGGCTTCTAATGCTCCAGTTGGCGCGGCTTGGTGAGAGTAGTCGTGGCTCCCGGGTCTTATGGTTATATAGCGAACTCAGGAGAGTTCCGCCACGGAATATGTGAGTGAGCGGCGCTATGTTGAGTCTGATATGAATCTCTTCGGTGTCGAGGCCCGGTTGGTACAGTTGGTATGTTGTCTGCT